GCCCCTCGGCTCAGTCCAGCCGCCTCCTGTCAGCATCGTCTCCCTCCTGATGGGTGAATTATTTTCCACTTCAGAGGAACAGAGGGGCTGTTGAATGGGTGGCCCCCAGAGAGCCGCCACTATTCACCTTCTTACTAAGTTTTCTTTTACCTGCTGTGGGGTTGAACTGAGCATAGCTGGTGCCTCCTCAAAGCAGAGGTGCTTCAGCACATCCCAGAAACATCTGGTTGCTTTTTGATGTGCCACTTGTTTTCCCTCCTGACCCTTGTGGTTGCTTTCAAGTTCCCTCACGACCCCTCCGTGTCCCTCTCAGTGCCTCCCAGAGCCCCCACTCACCCTCTAGTCCCCCACATCCTCACCCCACTCCCAAACCCCGAGCACACAAGGGGTGTTTAAAACTTGCACAGTTTATTATGCTCCTTGACCCGCCACGCAGCCAGCAGCCCGGGCAGCCCTGCCGCCGCGTGCTGTGGCCAGATCAACACCCCCACCAAAGCGCTACGAGCAGTGCAGTAAGGCAAACTGATAATTGTCCAGCAAGAAAGAAGAGCTGTTTCCACAACTGCCTGGGCACGTCGGTCTCAGTTGCTCCGTACCAGGTGTGGTTTGGTTCCCATGTTGTGACACTCCCAGCCCTTTGGGTTTTTCATGGGATCAGTGGGGAAGCTGCAGGTTCCTCTTCCGACACCAGTGAGGTGGTTTCCACGCTGCGGTTACCGCTCCTCTGCCACACACAAACATCAGTGCAAGAAGCCAGGCTGGGGAACTGGCTCGGTGGGTCACATTCATGGGGTCAGCAGCAGCTCTGCTGAGGAGATCTGAGCCCGGACAGAGGGGAGCCACGGGGGAACCAAGGGGCAGGGCTTGAACGGGGTCATCTGCACAGAGCACATGGAGAAGTGCATCTCCTGTAGTGTTAAGCAGCTGTGGGACACCTGGAGCCCAACAACGCCACAAGAGCAGCAGCTGAGGCTGCCTCTGGATTTGGTCTGGGGTTCTAAAAGGGAGATGTGGACACCTCCTGGTCCCTAGCCCAGGCCAGCAGCTTGCTGGTTCCACATCCAGGCTGCTGCCCCAAGCGATCCCAAGTGTACGGTGTGAGCAGTGTGAGCCCTGCACTGCCAAGCTCTGGTACCCTACAGAAACAAGCAGCGGTGGGAATCTGTCTCCACAGTCATGTTCCTTCTTCCAAGACCCTGCAATGCCTCTGTGCAGCTGCTGACATGGAAGTGCCTGTGTTGCTTCAATGGGATACAGCAGTCACCTGGTACCCACCCTCCTCCTGCTTCACCCCACTTCCAGTTCTTACCAGTGTTTGAGCTCCAGGATTATTATCTGTGGCAGCAGCTTCCAGCAGGTCATCCATCCTTGGTCACCATTTGTTTCACAAGCACCCACTGTGCCTGAGCACATGCGAGTCTTCCAGATCCCACAACATCAGGAGAACCAAGAAACAGCATCTGCACCCAGGGCTTCAGCACCAGGTTCCCAGATTGCCTTGTGCCAAGCAGGAACATTACTGGTCAAAGCAGTGAAGGGGAAATTTCCAGGAGAAGCAAACATCTCCAGGAAGCAGTGATAGTAAAGGAAACAGTTTATGGTCTGAGCTCTTTCTGGGACGGAGATTCAGCCCTGGTTGTAGCTCAGATACTTTCTCCAGTTCCTGCTGGACAGCCAGAGCTGATGGCCAAGGTCGCAGTGAGAAGCACAGCGGAGGGAAGAGGGGAGATGCTCCAATGGAGGCACTGCAGCTCCTACTTGTAGCTCTCACAGTCTCTGCACTGAGCCCACAGCTCAGGCGGGTGTTCCCAGAAGAACCTCAGCCCTTTCTTGCAGTATCATTCCCAAAGTCAGTCCTCAGATAGGGAGCCTTCCCCACCCGCCCCACATACCCCAAGCTCTGCACGTTCCTTAGAGTGGTCCGTGTCCCAGGGAATGGTGGGCACAATCCCTATTTCAAAACAAGCATGGCCTCTGTCCCATCTTGCCTTGTCAAATGGAGTCCGTGAGTGAGGTAGTACTCCCGCCGGAGGAAGGCATAGAAATAATCCGAGATGAGCAGGATCTGCAGAATCGAGATATTCAGACACATCAGTGATGCTTTAGAACAAGGAATGAAAAGGGACGTGTGTTTGTGACAGACCTTGAAGGGGTTTAAGAAGTTCTTAGGCTGTTCCTCACGCTTTGCAAGAGGAGACACTGTGATCCTGTGAACTCTTTGTCCACTGCCCTGCAGCATTAAGCCAAGGGAGACTTTGATTTACTTGTTGTGCTGCTGTTGTGTTCCCACAGACATGTCTGATAAGGAGACAACATTTTCATAAACTGGCCAAAATACATGACAATGGCAGGTCCATCTGTGCCACAGCCTTACAGACCATCTCAGCCTCACCCACAGGACTCCTTCCATGCAAGCACTGTCATGTAGCTCAACCCAAATGCTGGAAGTCTCCTGCTGCTGATTGCTATGAAGGACTTTTCCATTGTGATGGTTTTTCAACTGCCATTTCTACTCAGAAAGGGTAAGAGGTGCGTAGGCAGCAGAGGAACATCACAGCTCCCCAGGTCAGCCTCAGCAAGCAGCTTTAACTTACCAGGCTAAGGGGTAAAGAGGAGAGCTGAAATGTCAAGGTTGTGGCTCCCTGTGGTTTCAGGAGTAACACCAGATAAAAGCAGTTCTTCCACCCCCATCACTTCTGCATCTCCTTCCTGCCCCTGTGTTTCCATGCCCTCCCTGTGGGGCAGCTGACCCTGGGTATAGGTCTGCACACTGTGTCTGCCTCTAAGTGGTGAACGGAGCTGACTGTCCCCCATATCTTCCCTGGCCAGGCACGTGGATGTTGGCACTGCCCTGTGTTGTTGGGAGGTGGGTGTACCTCAGGCTGGTATTGCCACCAGCCACCTTGTAGTGTGAAATCACAACTGAAGTCCTGTGCTCAAAAACTGCAGGGAACAGGGAAACCTGACATCGAAATCACAAAGTCCCTCCCCTTCTCAGCCACACTTCGGCTGGACCGAGGCACCAGTGTGACTGCTCCCCTGCCTGGAGGCACTGGGAACTCCAGAGGGGGTCTTGGTGGTTTTTCTAAAGCAGTCACCTCAGGCCAGCTGCTTTGCAGGGTGGGCTGGGCTGCTCCGAGCACTGGCAGTGGCCAGCTGGCTCTGTAGGGCCAGTTGTCATTTAGCCTCTCAGTGTGACCCTTCCCCAGGAATGCTGACCCCCTCCATCTGGAAATAAAAAGAGTGGAAAACCTTTCCAGTGCCAGACCAAACTAGCAGTTATTATACTAATGTCCAGGTGCCACTTGATGCATCCCTTTGGCACAAGGTGTTCATCCACTTCCCTGGGGAATCCACTCCAGGCAGAGCCTCACCTGAAGTGTGCTGCAGCGCTAAGGGGACGGCAGGAGGCAGAGCCAGGCTGCCAGCCAGAGCCTGCTTGGGTTACTGCCAAATACAGCTGTGTAGAGAAGGCTCAGGGTCAGGATGGGAGGGTATGGACAACCTGGTGGAGACTGAGGGAAA